CCTTCCCTTGATGGCGACGTTATTCCTTTCTCTTGATGAATGAATTGAAATGACGGTTTAGAGAATAGATAAGTGAGGTCGACCTTTCTAATGATATCCCTTCCAATCCCCAGTCCCCGGGTGGTTTTTTTAAATAAATTTGGCGTTGATGGTCATTGGTGGTATGTCCGATCGTTTGTTCCGCGCTCCGTTTGAATTAAATTGAGTGAATTCGTGTTGAGTCGTTTGATGTCGAATCATTCTGATGTAAGAGAAAGTAACGTTGAAATATTGCGACGCAGTAGTGAAATATGAAAACATTATGCATCCGTTCATTCATTGGCATTGAGGAGCATTCACGGATTCGTTGATATATATTGATATCGAAAGATTTCAATTGAACTGATCATTTGAATTCAATCGGCGTAATACACTGATGTCAAAATATTAATACATCTTCGATTTGAATGAAATTGAATGAATTGATGATGAACGGATAGATATCGAAAGATATTGATGTAATGAATATTGATATTGAATTGTTGTGGAATGAATGATATTGATTAAGATATGCAATGCTGATGAGATATTGATTTGCTGATGAGATATTGATTTTGATTTGAAATATTGATGAGATATTGATTTTGATATGAAATATNTTGCGCATTCTGTGGGTTCGGTGAGGGTCAAGCGAGTTGGGAGAAAAGGGCATCGAATAGGTTGGCAGCATCCTTAAATCATCCAAAAATTTTGAGAGACCTAAAATTGATGAAAGAAAACATGATGAAAGCAGCTTTGAATCAGATAGTTCTGGTTCCTTCAATTAGGACTAATAGACGCATAAAACATAATAATAAAAGAACGAATAAAACACCAAAATAAAAAAAACACTAAAAAATAAATGTAATAAAAAAAAGATGAAATAACACCAAAAGAGGATTCAGCAACTTTGGGGTGGCCCTGAAAGGTGATGAGTTGGAAGGAGATTATAATTTTACTAAATAGTGGAATCAAAACAGTAAATGTAATTCAATCAATGAAAACAGTTTGAATGCTTAACTTCGAGCATCATAAGCTCATTGTCATTAAACAATCATCCCAACATTGAAATAATTTGAAGTCGAGTTTTATTTCAATTGTGAGTGGGCGTTTGAATGATTAAATAGAGATGACTTATAATAACTAAAAAGTGCTCTGTTGTTATTATTTATTGTTTCTTATTTATAAATTGCTGGTGATTAAGGTTTTGTGATAACTTGTTTTTTTCATTATTGCCTGTCATGTTGTCGTCTGTCATTGTTGCGTTTAATTGTACCGGAACTGATAAGGTCCCCCTTATACCGCTTTGGGTATGCTTGGGTTCTCGGTTCTCGATTTATGAATTTGCTAAGATGTCCCCAATTCCCCCNTGATGGCGACGTTATTCCCTTCCCTTGATGGCGACGTTATTCCTTTCTCTTGATGAATGAATTGAAATGACGGTTTAGAGAATAGATAAGTGAGGTCGACCTTTTTAGTGATATTCCTATAAATTCCCAGTCCCTGGTTGGTTTTTTATAATTTGGCGTTGATGGTAATTGGTGGTATGTCTGATCGCTTGTTCCGCGCTCCGTTTGAATTAAATTGAGCGAATTCGTGTTGTTTCGATTGATGTTGAATGATTTCGATATAATGAAGCATTGATAGTGAAATATTATGACGCAGTACTGAAATGTGAAAATATAATGTATGCCCCCAATCATAAGCATTGATGAGCATTTACTCGTTAAAGATATTGATTTAATGAAGTATTGAATTGGTTAGCATGAAATGAATGACATTGAATAAGATACTGAATATTGATGTAGATAAGATATTAATGTGGAATATTAATAAGATATCAATATGAGATATCAATGAGACATTGATATGAGATATTAATAAGGTATTGATATTAATTAGATATCGAAATATAGTGAGGTTTGGATTTGATAACGTTTTTTTATGTGATGACGTTTACTTTTGATGTGATGACGATTATTTTTGATGGTATGATTTTTTGATGTTATGATGTTTTTTGATGTGGTGATATTTTTTAATGTGATGACGTTTTGTTTTCTGATGTAATGACTTTTATTCTTTG